GTGCGTATGTGGGGTAAAGCAGCACTGTTTTATCATACTAGATACATTTGAAAGTTTTGTTATAATGCTACTCTGTGCGGTCGTCACCTGTCTAATGAAACGCACAACATATTGAAGAGTCTTTGGTGTTTCCATGTTTTCTACAAAGCAAAACCGGAAATCGAGGGGTTAAGACGTCATTGGCAGGCGACACAATGACACTATGGACACGGTCCGTGTCACTAGTTAAAATCGCTTATTTCTCTGGATTTAAACATTCTTCGAAACATTTGGAATAATGTAAGTACACAAGTCAGCAAAATATATAACACTGTTCTAGTGGTTTTTGGATATTTTAATAAAAAAATCTTACATATTGTGCCTTTAATAATGTGCATGGGTTAATCACTTATAATAGACCATTTTGATTTCATTTATAATTTTGATTTCATGGTGACTTTAAGTCTTTTTAAGACTGTGTGCACCTTTAATGTCAACAAGAAATCAGAGCTGATAGTCTCATCTGTTCCTGATCTTACGCAGGGTTTCTGCAGGTTTTATGAATGTAAATTTAAGACTTTTTTAAGACCAAGTAAAGAACATTTACATTGAATGGAGCACTTGAATGAATACCTCTGCTCTCAACCACTAGAATATGGAAATGACTTTTACGGTTTTGTCATTACATGACAAAAAATTGTTGTCCTTCATCAGTATTTTTCTCTTGGTTCTTAAATCAAGATCCATTTACTTGAAAAGCAAAAATGGCATCAGACAAAAAAAAGAAATTGATCAAAATGAAGTGAGTTTGATTGAACCAAGAACAAATATCTACCAACTGGTTTACTTTTCATACCCCACTGACAGTTGTTTGCTCTTGTTTCAAGTGTAAACTCGCTAAATTTTGTTCAAGACTTAATCTTTGATCTGCATGTTGATTTAATGATGTTTAGATATTTGTAATGGGGAAAAAAATACTGAAGAAGACTATGAATTTAAGCTCCAATTTAAGACCTTTTAAGGCGCAGAAACCCTGTTATTGTAACCCTTTCCTTTTCAGCTGGCATTGCAAATCGCTCTTACTTTATCAACCAATTCTCAACAACCACAATCCATTCCTGAGAAATAAAATAGGCCCAATTTTTCTCATTGAATATCTATTGAATATTCAACTTTGGAAACATGTCGTGTTAAATGAATCATTTGGGTTTTGACCCGGGTTTTATGTTCGCAGTGCTGGCTGGCAGTTGTTTATATGTAGCAATGCAGAAGCGATGGAAACGCTACCTGTGTTTGTCCTTCCAGATTTTGAACCACTTGACAAGGTTCTTAGTGCTCTGGAGTCTGGGGTGCAGGCAATACTCCTGACCTTTGAAACGGGACACATTCTCCATGGTGACACTATAAACACATGGGGAAAATTACGGGTGAGTGGATGGGAGGAGAAGATGGGTAAACAGGATGAGACAAGGGGAGAATATTAGTCATTTAAGCAACACAGACATTAAGCAGTGATACACTAATACATTTCATGCATGTCATTAATCATAAAAATGGTAACAATACTATTTTATATGCTAATAAATGTAACTTTGCACTAAAGATTAAATAAAAATCATCATTCAAATTAAATGCAGAAGGTAGAAATTGGACAAATCCTGACAAATCGTTCCTGGACTGTGTGAGTTTGAGGTGAATCATCATGACCGCAGAATGCTCTGCTTACTTGACTGCTAAACAAATACTAATTCAAAGCAGAATTCAATACCGCAGCTTATTTTGCCTATTAAGAAGATATTTACCACGTCGCTGGAATCACTGAAGCATTGAAGTGCATAGTCTTTTATTTAGATTTTCACTTTATTATTCACCTGTGCAGCCAAAAGAACATGTTTGTTGACTCTAAACTCTTCACTGGCCTCTTAAAACAGAGCAGGAGCTCTTGTGGGGCTGGAGAAGCTTCTAGAATGTTAAACTCACACTCAGAATCCAGTGCCATAAACTGAAGAGACGGAACACTTTCACGAATGCAAATCTAGACAAATGAGCTAAATGTCCAGGGACTATTTACCAAAAGCTTTGAGGCTAATAGAACAACTTTGAGTGAGCCACAAACTGATTGATTTTTTATTCTTATGTAAAATATCTTTCTGCACTAACTATTCAAATATAATATACCGTATAATTACCAGGTGAAATACTATGGATATTATATAATCTTCAAATGATCACACTGGTACAGCACTTGAATTTCGAGAATATCTGTGCACTTCACATCTGACCAATTTCATTTTCAATCCACAGTTCAGAGCAACATTTCTGGATCCAAACCGCAGATAGATCACTCTCTCTTGATATGTAACGAGATTTTAATATAAAGCCTACAATACTAAAACTTCTTTTGAAAACTCAAATTAAAATCTATCTACGATCATTATAATATTCATTTGAATTTCAGAATATAAACACAACTTTACTATAAACTGCTTTTTAAAAATCTCCAGCTCTGTACATATGCTGCAATGCCTAAAATGACCAGCAGGTGGAATAACGTGTACGGTAACGTCTATCCAAAAGACAAGCTTATCACAAACACGTTTGCTTTACAACATAGAAAACATGTTTGTATCTTACAGCCTTCATAAACACTGTTTGGGCTTCATGCACTGTCACAACATAACCATGCTAAACAATTTAAGGTAAATTTTGACTGTATAGTATCTTCTAAGTGTGCCACTAAATTATCATATAATGGAAAATCCAGCTAAAACGGTTTATGCTGGCAGCTGGTTTTACAAGGTTAATAGCTGATCTAAGATTGTCATTTATAGCCATTAGATAGTCCAAGATGTGGGCAATTACCAGACAGCTACAGTCTGGTTAGAGCTGATTAAACTGGTGTGGACTGGATTGAGCAGGATCACCATGCCTGACCACCTTAAGATGAAATGACCTGTTTTATCTAGTAGGGTCTAGGGGCAGCCGACCCTTATGGGCTGCAGTCTTTTTTACAGCAATACGGATAATCAACAAACATCTCCTAAAGCATGGTTTAATTTTTTTTGCTCTTATTCTTATTATAAGACTACTCTGCTCTATAAATATATAATTATTGAGTTGTTATTTAGTTAAAGAACCTACTGCAATTCATAAACACAGTCATAAAAATACACCACACACCAAACACACTTCGCAAATCAAAGATAGAATTTTTTTGGCAACTCACAATATCATCTTTTCTTGGCAGTATGGATGTTTAGGCTTGATCTCCAGCTTTTGTACATCTTTGTACCGGATCTTCGGGCCTTTTCTCGTGCATCTGCACTTATATGCTAAGAAATGGGTAAAAGGCACAGATTAGTCCCGAGAAAGATCTCACAAAAACTGGCAAGAGATGGCCAAACGAAAATTATATTTGAATAGAAAAGATCGAAACAGAAAGAAGTCACAGCTGCATAAAGAAAACCTAAAATGAAAAGCCAATGTGAATGTGTACTCGTATATAGAAATTAATTTTTCTTTAATAAAACAGCATTATAGAAAATGAAGCTTATATGCATAAATATTTTATTTGCATTAACGTAATTTGATTGTTAATTTATATGGCATTTAAAAAAATAGTAAAGGACAAGTACTATAAATGTAAATATTTATTTTATTTATTTATTTAGTCATTTAGCAGACGCTTTTATCCAAAGCGACTTACAAATGAGGACAATAAAAGCAGTCAAAACTAACAAAAGAGCAACAATACATAAGTGCAAATGACAAGTCTCGGTTAGCCTAACGCAGTACACGTAGCAAGGTGTATGTATATATATATACACATATACACACACACATACATACATACATATATATACACATATATATACACACACGCACACACACACACACACATATATATACACACACACACACAACTTTGCACTAAAGATTAAATAAAAATCATCATTCAAATTAAATGCAGAAGGTAGAAATTGGACAAATCCTGACAAATCGTTCCTGGACTGTGTGAGTTTGAGGTGAATCATCATGACCGCAGAATGCTCTGCTTACTTGACTGCTAAACAAATACTAATTCAAAGCAGAATTCAATACCGCAGCTTATTTTGCCTATTAAGAAGATATTTACCACGTCGCTGGAATCACTGAAGCATTGAAGTGCATAGTCTTTTATTTAGATTTTCACTTTATTATTCACCTGTGCAGCCAAAAGAACATGTTTGTTGACTCTAAACTCTTCACTGGCCTCTTAAAACAGAGCAGGAGCTCTTGTGGGGCTGGAGAAGCTTCTAGAATGTTAAACTCACACTCAGAATCCAGTGCCATAAACTGAAGAGACGGAACACTTTCACGAATGCAAATCTAGACAAATGAGCTAAATGTCCAGGGACTATTTACCAAAAGCTTTGAGGCTAATAGAACAACTTTGAGTGAGCCACAAACTGATTGATTTTTTATTCTTATGTAAAATATCTTTCTGCACTAACTATTCAAATATAATATACCGTATAATTACCAGGTGAAATACTATGGATATTATATAATCTTCAAATGATCACACTGGTACAGCACTTGAATTTCGAGAATATCTGTGCACTTCACATCTGACCAATTTCATTTTCAATCCACAGTTCAGAGCAACATTTCTGGATCCAAACCGCAGATAGATCACTCTCTCTTGATATGTAACGAGATTTTAATATAAAGCCTACAATACTAAAACTTCTTTTGAAAACTCAAATTAAAATCTATCTACGATCATTATAATATTCATTTGAATTTCAGAATATAAACACAACTTTACTATAAACTGCTTTTTAAAAATCTCCAGCTCTGTACATATGCTGCAATGCCTAAAATGACCAGCAGGTGGAATAACGTGTACGGTAACGTCTATCCAAAAGACAAGCTTATCACAAACACGTTTGCTTTACAACATAGAAAACATGTTTGTATCTTACAGCCTTCATAAACACTGTTTGGGCTTCATGCACTGTCACAACATAACCATGCTAAACAATTTAAGGTAAATTTTGACTGTATAGTATCTTCTAAGTGTGCCACTAAATTATCATATAATGGAAAATCCAGCTAAAACGGTTTATGCTGGCAGCTGGTTTTACAAGGTTAATAGCTGATCTAAGATTGTCATTTATAGCCATTAGATAGTCCAAGATGTGGGCAATTACCAGACAGCTACAGTCTGGTTAGAGCTGATTAAACTGGTGTGGACTGGATTGAGCAGGATCACCATGCCTGACCACCTTAAGATGAAATGACCTGTTTTATCTAGTAGGGTCTAGGGGCAGCCGACCCTTATGGGCTGCAGTCTTTTTTACAGCAATACGGATAATCAACAAACATCTCCTAAAGCATGGTTTAATTTTTTTTGCTCTTATTCTTATTATAAGACTACTCTGCTCTATAAATATATAATTATTGAGTTGTTATTTAGTTAAAGAACCAACTGCAATTCATAAACACAGTCATAAAAATACACCACACACCAAACACACTTTGCAAATCAAAGATAGAATTTTTTTGGCAACTCACAATATCATCTTTTCTTGGCAGTATGGATGTTTAGGCTTGATCTCCAGCTTTTGTACATCTTTGTACCGGATCTTCGGGCCTTTTCTCGTGCATCTGCACTTATATGCTAAGAAATGGGTAAAAGGCACAGATTAGTCCCGAGAAAGATCTCACAAAAACTGGCAAGAGATGGCCAAACGAAAATTATATTTGAATAGAAAAGATCGAAACAGAAAGAAGTCACAGCTGCATAAAGAAAACCTAAAATGAAAAGCCAATGTGAATGTGTACTCGTATATAGAAATTAATTTTTCTTTAATAAAACAGCATTATAGAAAATGAAGCTTATATGCATAAATATTTTATTTGCATTAACGTAATTTAATTGTTAATTTATATGGCATTTAAAAAAATTGTAAAGGACAAGTACTATAAATGTAAATATTTATTTTATTTATTTATTTAGTCATTTAGCAGACGCTTTTATCCAAAGCGACTTACAAATGAGGACAATAAAAGCAGTCAAAACTAACAAAAGAGCAACAATACATAAGTGCAAATGACAAGTCTCGGTTAGCCTAACGCAGTACACACACGACGCTTTTATCCAAAGCGACTTACAAATGAGGACAATAAAAGCAGTCAAAACTAACAAAAGAGCAACAATACATAAGTGCAAATGACAAGTCTCGGTTAGCCTAACGCAGTACACGTAGCAAGGTGTATGTATATATATATATATATACACATATACACACACACATACATACATACATATATATACACACACGCACAAAGAAAAACAAGTAGATAGAATAGAAAAAATAGAAAGTTAGTGTTTCTATTATTAAACACCTAATATTAAACTATTATTAAATATGCATAATAGTTTTGTTTTCTGATTTTAACATTGTGTCCAGACAATGACTTTGACTACTATATTAATGAGAATTTATTTGTTTACTTTTTGCATTAAAGTAATGAGAATTTGTGAGGTAAATTCTGATCAGGTTTAATTTTACTTCTTTTTTTTTTTTGTGTGAAAATATTTTGTTGTGAAATGTTCCATGGCTATTTCTTCTACAAATGCTTTCTGACACGTTCCAGCATTTTCTAACTTTTAAACTGAACTGACAACGAGGTGGTACAAAATTCAACAAACAGCGTGGTGATTCATTAAAGTGCCATTTGCTGTTTTCCCTCCGACTATGAGGCAGGTGAGCTGCTGCTGAAAGACGCGTGACCTACATCTAATCCTCATCAATCTTCTCCGCTCCATTCAGCATCATCTCTAAACAGCCTCTCAGGACACAAGCCAACAAGACTCATCCAGCAACACAAAGAGCCACTATTTACTACCACTGGCCAACTTTTGCAGAATGAACTAGATTGTCTGAGAGAAGTGGAGATATTTGACAGTTGCACCAGCATAAGGCGCTGTTATTCTGCGGGAAAAGTTGACAAAAAGATCAAATAGAAGAATAAAATCATGCACCCCGGATAAGACTGAAATAGCAAAAACGCCAAATTCTATATTGATAGACACTTTAACAATGCATATCTTCGCGAACTCCATAAAAAACATAAGATACTAAACACCACACACACACTCACCCTCTGTGTTGAGTGAATAAACAGCGATAACCAGCAAAAGCAAAGCGGCCGTACAGCGATTCATCCCCAATAGTTTTGCTGAGAACCTCCAGCAGCCTCCGGTCTGTTTACAGCACTCAGATCCAAAAATCGAGATCCTCACACAGTGTCCGCCTGCTGAGAAACGCGCTCGCTGTCTCTGTGATGGGAGTCAGTAGCAGGTTGAATGTGCTCTCGAGCGCACTGAGCTTCTATAAACACACGCTCGAGCGCCTCATTGATATGCACAGCCCGCTGACGAATTAACAGCGGCTGCGTCTCCACACCGAGCGAGTTGCCTACCTAGAAAGCATTTTTGGGCCGTGTGCATGCAATCGAGGGTAGGCAGCGCTCTAGGTTTTGACACACGGTCGCCAGAGAGAAAAAAAAGCGATACAATTGAGTTAAAAAGTTTATTAGGAGAGTGTGGACGTTGTCAGGGGAGATAATTGCATTGGCTTAAAAAGTCTCACTTAATTTGTTCTCCTCGATTCTTGCCCATGAATAAAGGCTCGGTTTAGCAAACTCTTTCTATGCAATCTGGAGTCTTTAGTAGAGGAGTGCTATCTTAAGAACATCTTAGACCTAAAACATTGAAAACATTTGTATAAAGTCACTTCTTGTGCAGGTTAGGTAGTTTAAAGAAGTCTTCCTGAGACTTACTTCAATAAGTAAGAATTATAATTAGGCTAAGTAAACCTGTGAATGAACAATTTTTTTTTTCACATCTTGCAGACATTTTAAAAGAGCTTTTATCAGATTGTTGTTGCTGAAAATAGTATTATGTAATACACATAAAACAATTTTATGCTAAACTCGAAAAAATGCTGGGTTAAATACAACCCAGATTGGGTTAAATGTTTAACCCAACCTTGGCTTAAAATGAATCCAAAATAGGTTGTAAATTAAAAATCAGACACATAATTACTAGAGGCATCAGCAATTATCAAAAGGTGAATATTTATTAATAAGCAATTTAAACACATCTTGCAGACATTTTAAAAGAGCTTTTATCAGATTGTTGTTGCTGAAAATAGTATTACGTAATACACATACAACTGTTTTATGTTAAACTCGAAAAAATGCTGGGTTAAATACAACCCAGATTGGGTTAAATGTTTAACCCAACCTTGGCTTAAAATGAATCCAAAATAGGTTGTAAATTAAAAATCAGACACATAATTACTAGAGGCATCAGCAATTATCAAAAGGTGAATATTTATTAATAAGCAATTTAAAAAATGTGTATTATTTAATTATTATTTTTGTTAATAAATGTTAATTTATTGAGCATATTCATATATGTTAATTTCCAACTTATTTTGTATTTATTTTAAGCAAGAAATATAGTAATTTTTAAGCAATAGTTAAGTTAAATAAAACTTCCCAGAAGGTTGGGTCAAAACAACCCGATCGCTGGGTTTGTCCGTATTTCACCCAGTGCTGGGTTGTATTGATTTAACCCAGCATTTTTTAGAGTTTCAACGATAAAGCTGCACAGGTAAGAAGTCGTGTGAGTGTTATTTTGTACTTCTAACCAGGGTTTGTGTAAAAACTCTACACAGAGTTGCATAATGGTGGAAATTGCTTGGATTTGATGCTGTCCACCCTTATATATCATCAGCATTTTATTTTTAAATTGAATAACAAAAACAAAACAATAGTTGCTAGGGCACATTCATTCACAACATCTGTTCCATGTTGAAGAGTGTATTTTATTTGTGATAATGAATTCATGAGGACTTCTACATTTGTAAGGTTTAATAAGCACAAGTCAGCAATTCTCAAACATTTTTGAAGATGCACATTTTTTATTTGAATATCGCACCTTAGAGACATGCAAAGGGAGTTTCTATGCATGTTCATTCGATAAGCAACCCCGTGTAAGCTGTTTGTAATAGATCTATGCTATTTACTTTCATACAGTATATAATGCTTTACAATATAATTTTGCACTTTTGAATTTGTCACCTTTTAAAAATGTCCTTGTCACAGTGACGAATAAAACTACCTATTGTTGTCTGCACTGGCACCTAACAGTGTTTGGCTCTGTAAATGATACCCCTGAGAAGACTGTTTCTAGTTTCCTCCTCATGCATGGATGATTGGAGGGCATGAAGCTAACCATCTGAGTATCTGTGTCTGCGGACAAGAGCCTCATCCCAGCTGTCATCAGCCATGCCTCAGTCCATTTCACGTCTGTCTGTGGCCCATCCAAAGGTCCGGGTGAACTGAAAAGCATGAAAATCATATGTGAAGCTGCCCTTCATTCTGCCTGACTGGATATAATAAAGACTTAATGCTAACAGACAATGCCAATGCCCCTTTTTAACCCAAATCAGCTACCACTGTCAAGGGCATTTACGTTGTCAGTCATACCAAAAACACTGGCAGCTATATCTATTTTTTATCGCCATAATGCTGAGACTGTCCACTGACAGCTACATCAGGGATCACAGGAAAAGAAATCTTGAATATTTTGTAGTTGTAAATAAAGATGATCAAGTATGTTCTAGAAGGAAATACTACATTTAAAATGTTTAATCAATTTGTTATGTGTTGCTTCTTTGTGATTAATTGTGAAAGCAATTTCTGAGTGAAAAATGTTTCTACAAGTTCATTACATTAACAATAAAAATTATCCGCTAATGTTTGCCATCCACAAAGTGTCACACGCCTTTTAATCTTTATTTTGAACAGTATTTCTACTGCTTTATCAATTAAATCCTTTGCTTAAAAAGTCTATAATTTATTTAAAATACAACCCGCTTGATATTTTAGCAATGACACTCAGTTTTTAATGTGCTACGAGAGTCCAAATATTTTTTGGAGCCAAACTTAACAGAAGCAGATTTAACCAATAACCAGTCACCAATACAAAATTTTAACTGGTGGATGTCTCTATATACAGAAGACTAAGCAATAAGCAGGTTACATAAACAAGGAGGCAACATGCACGTGGTGTGGTAAATCTAAAATGATAGAAGCTACAGTATGTTGCCCATTACAGTTCAGTACTGGTGTTAAAACCACCGTCTCCTTACAGCAGATCTCTCTGTGCAACGGAGGAATTCCTGGCACTGGTTTGACTCGTTGACACATTTTATAAGGGATTTGTCGGTTATCAGCTGGTAAAAATACCACCATATGTACACACATACAACGAATCCATTTAGCCCAGCATACAGCGGTTTTGGATGTTCGGTAAGTTTGCAAAATATACATCATAAAAGCTGTCCAATCAGGTTGCAAATGTATTCTTATGCCTTTAGTTTTGTATCATTAGATTTGGTGTTAAAAATGAGAGTGTGAACACTAAGCAAATCAGGACTACATGTATCACTCTCTTTTTTGGTCCGGACCAAAAGAACCAAGAGAACTGAACTATAAGTGTAAACACACCTTTTTCACATTAACCTATTAAAGGCACAATATGTAAGTTTTTTTTATTAAATACCCAAAAACCACTAGAACAGTGTTATATATTTTGCTGACTTGTGTACTTACATTATCCCAAATGTTTCGAAGAATGTTTAAATCCAGAGAAATAAGCAATTTTAACTAGTGACACGGACCGTGTCCATAGTGTCGCCTGCCAATGACGTCTTAACCCCTCGATTTCCGGTTTTGTTTTCTAGAAAACATGGAAACACCAAAGACGCTTTAATATGTTATGCGTTTTATTAGACAGGTGACGACCGCACAGAGTAGCATTATAACAGAACTTTCAAATGTATCTAGTATGATAAAACAGCGCTGCTTTACCCCACATACGCACGACCGGAAGGAGCGGAAGCGGTCGACTGTGGCATAATAAAAGCTCCGCTGCTTTACCCCACATATGCACGACCGGAAGGAGCGGAAACGGTCGACTCTGGCATAATAAAAGCTCCGCTGCTTTCCAGCCGTGTGTCATGCTCGTTCAGCGGCCTTGTTTCACTTCGACGGCTTTCAGCCTCACCCTGCTTCATTCTACTACGTTAATAAATCATTAGCTCATCCATGAACATGATTTCTGCCCGAGTCCCGTCGGATTGCTTCGGCTGTGGAGATGAAGACGACAACTCCCATGATTCCACACTCAGTCACGGTGTCATCAAACTACGCCTTTGTTTCTTTGTTTATTTTGAATATGCGCCCTCTAGCGGCGAAAACTTACATATTGTGCCTTTAATACATTTACATTTTTGTGTTGCGCATTTTACTTTTTGTACTGTGTTGGGCCATCACTCAATGTACAATCTGGGTTCTGAAGCAAATCTAGTTTAGAACTAGTTGTGTTATAACCAGATAAGGCCCTTTGACTGTATGCAATAGCGTGACTGTGAAAGTTTTTGTGTTTTATTTTTTCTCCCACAAAGGCCCATTTTACTTTATTGTTGTTCTTTCATTAACTAATGTATCCAGACAAAACCTTTATGTATTTGTTGAATGATAATGATACAATCATGTTGAGAGATATTTTCTTTGTTGCATGTTATGTAGCCTATTCAATGCACTGCGATATGCACCGAATCTCTTCTGCTCAAAGAAAGCACCGTAACATGACAACGTGTAAATCAGCACGTCAACAAGCATCAAAGTGGCTCCTTTTTTCTTGATCAGGCACGTCTGTGCAAACTGCTGCTGCAGAAGGGTGGTGTTTGCAATTACACGTAATGATTTTAAGTCAGGTTAGCCAATGGCCTGCGGGCTCTCGGATTCTTCACGTTTACTTGCTCCATGAGAGAACATGCTGGATAATCGCTGCATAGAATTCCACTATACAGTACTATTAGTCTAAATGTCCAGGAAGAATCATAGGAATGCCTGCTTAAATAACATGAAAGAGAAACCTACATATAGTGCATGAGAATACCTAAACAGGAGACACAGAAGATGCATTTGACTTGCAGTGTCACAAATAATTTGACTTCATAACAGTTTATTTTAGAGAGTACATTAGAGATTTCTGTATACTTCTGTCAATCTGTATATTTCTCAGAGAGCCTCGTTCTGGCCAGGTTTCAGTAAGTAAATACATGTGACGAGAACACTAATCGCTGATAATGTTACATAACACTGTCTTTGGAGCTGTTGATCTATTCATCACACATCTGTGGTGGATTTGACATCCTCTTGAGATATTTTCATATTATTCAGGGCAGGTTTGTTGTTGTGCTTATGTAAATTTCTTCATTATAGACCAAATCTAAAAATGGATCTGCATGATCATCAGAGACAGGATAAACAGTGTTTGAGATC